ACCAGCTCCGTCTTCTCGACCTCCACGATAACAGACTCAACGGCACCGTTTCGCCACTCACAAACTGTACCAACCTCAGGCTCGTTTATCTCGCCGGTAACGATATCTCCGGCGAAATCCCCAAAGAGATCTCTTCCCTCAAGCGACTGATTCGTCTCGATCTCTCCGATAACAACATCCACGGAGTAATCCCCAGAGAGATTCTCGGGTTTACCCGGATTTTAACAATCAGGCTCCAAAACAACGAGTTAACGGGTCGGATCCCGGATTTTTCTCAGGTGAAATCGCTTCTTGAACTGAACGTCTCTTACAACGAATTGCACGGAAAAGTCAGCGACGGTACAGTGAAGAAATTCGGAGACTTGAGCTTTTCCGGTAACCAAGGACTATGCGGGTCGGATCCGTTACCGGGTTGCTCTTTCACGAACGACCCGGAATCTTCCAACACAGATCAGACCGTGCCGTCAAATCCAACGTCGATTCCGCATTCTCCGATCATCGCCGGAGAACCGAAAATCCACGGCCATCGAGGGTTAAGACCTTTAACAATCGCCGCCGTTATCGGCGGCGGTGTGGCGGTTATCGTCGTAGCATCTTTCGGTTTTGCTTTCTGCTGCGGAAGATTAGACCGTAGTGGCGGATCGAAACCCGGAAGCTTAGAGAGTGGATTCGTCGGAGGAGGAGGAGAAGGGAAGAGACGAAGCAGCTACGGTGGAGGCGGAGAGGAAAGCGACGCGACGTCGGCGACAGATAGAAGCCGGCTTGTGTTCTTCGAGAGAAGGAAGCAATTCGAGCTTGAGGATCTGTTAAAAGCATCGGCGGAGATGCTTGGGAAAGGGAGCTTAGGTACGGTGTACAAGGCGGTGCTCGACGACGGATCAACGACGGTGGCGGTGAAGCGGCTCAAAGACGCGAATCCGTGTCCGAGAAAGGAGTTCGAGCAGTATATGGAGATCATTGGTAGGCTTAAACACCAAAACGTCGTCAAACTCAGAGCTTATTATTACGCTAAAGAAGAGAAGCTCCTCGTTTATGAGTATCTTCCCAATGGAAGCTTATACTCTCTTCTTCATGGTTAAGTCTCTTTCCCAAACTTTTGACCAATTGGGTTACTAATTATTGCTATGATCTGTCAATTTGAGTAATCAAAATTTGATCTTTTGTATAAAAATTCGATCTTTTTGTTGGTTCAGGGAATCGAGGTCCAGGGAGGATTCCATTGGATTGGACGACGAGGATCAGTCTAATGCTAGGAGCAGCGAGAGGCTTAGCCAAGATTCACGACGAGTATAGCATCTCCAAGATTCCTCACGGAAACATCAAATCCTCAAACGTTCTCCTCGACAGAAACGGCGTCGCGTTGATCGCCGATTTCGGTTTATCCCTTCTTCTAAACCCGGTTCACGCTATAGCCCGACTAGGAGGCTACCGAGCGCCGGAGCAGTCGGAGATCAAACGCCTCTCTCAGAAAGCCGACGTGTACAGCTTCGGCGTGCTGCTCCTCGAGGTTCTCACCGGAAAAGCTCCATCTATGTACCCATCTCCATCGAGGCCTAGATCGGCGGCTTCTGTAGCGGTGGAGGAGGAGGAAGAAGCGGTGGTTGATTTGCCGAAGTGGGTTAGGTCGGTGGTTAAGGAGGAATGGACGGCGGAGGTTTTTGATCCGGAGCTTCTGAGGTATAAGAACATAGAGGAGGAGATGGTGGCGATGCTGCATATCGGTCTCGCCTGCGTCGTGGCTCAGCCGGAGAAACGGCCGACGATGGCGGAGGTTGTTAAGATGGTTGAGGAGATTAGGGTTGAGCAGTCTCCGGTGGGAGAGGATTTCGACGAGTCAAGGAACTCGATGTCTCCGTCGTTGGCCACCACCGAGGCAAGTTTGGTTTAAGTCCGCCACTTTGTGAAACATATGTATCGCTGGATTTTGTTGGTTTCAAAGGTTATTGCTTTAAATTTTAAATTTGTGCGACTCTATCGAAGTTTGTTTTAGCTATGATTTGTGTCTTCACGGTTAACGATTTTGTTTTGTGGATTCATGGAACCCGCTTAAAGTAGTTAAAACCCCATTAACGGTTACTGTTGGAGCTAGATTTGTCACACAAATCCAACCTATCTAGAAAATTGTTAAATGGACCGGTTTAGCCCACTCTTTTGTGTGGCCTAATATTAAATTATTGGTCCATTAACCACCAAATCTCATATTTATAAACTAAGTCAAAAACATTGATTAAGTCAAATATCTTTGATGAAGTTAAAGATCTTAGACCACCTCCAATGGGGTTTCTTTCAAGGTTCTTAAGCTAATTAAACATTAAAATTAAAGATAAAATGTTTTTTAAGAGTTGAGACGGTTCTCATGTAAGAGATTTAAGAGACTATAAGAGACGCTGATGTATCATAATATGATTGGGTGAAATATAATTTTATTTTTTTAATTAGTTTTTGGGTTTAGAATTCTTTCTCTCTTTGCATTCGAGAAACACTAAGAAAAAAAGACGATGTTTGGGTTCTGAAAAAAATGACGATGTTTACGAAGAAGACGATGTGAGGGAGCTATGCAAATCGAATGGAGAAAAGGTTGTCTCCTGCATGCATGTCGAATCGAACTTCATCACCGGCGAGGAAGCTCTGCATATTTCTAGGTTTAGAAAATAATTGGAGAGAAGGAAAGCTGGGTAATTTTCTTTGTATCTCTGCAATTTTTGTTTGAGTTCATCCGAATTAGATGATTTGGTTAGTTAGGAATCATCTTACACTAATCTAATTGGGTTTCGATGTTGCAATTGTGACTTCCAACCAAACCACCGACCATCCCGAGGCTGACAAGTTCCGATGTCTCCAACCACAAGCTCATGTTCAGTTTATAAATGTGGTGAATGAAGACGGCGGTGAAGAGGCCGTGACAGCCGCCGCAGCAATCGAATATGGAGGAGATAAGGCGGTTTACAGAAGTAATCGATGCTCAGGACAAATTGTGTGGAGAGGTATATTTATTTTCTGCTTTGAAGTTTATGGTTTATCTTCTGCTATGATGTTTGCGATTGATGGTGTGTAGTTAGAGTTATGCACTGCATTCTCTCTTTTATTAAGACACAAGCTTCTAGCTTCTTTATTCATCTCTTGCCTTCTCTTTTATTCATCTCTTTTCTTCTTCTTTTTTTTTATCTCTTTCCTTCTCCTTTAAACAAGTCATTTTCTTCTCTTTTAAACACTGTTTTCTTCTCCTTTAAACAGCCATCGCAGGAACATATGGATTTACTAATCCATATAGTGACTCTGGCTTCATGAACTTCCTAAATAGTCAACAAAACCCACAAGCCCTTCAACCCACTCGGTATGAAAATGTTTCACCAAGTATTGATCTTGGAATTTTTTTTTTTAAGAACCTCTGAATTCAGAGACTCCCATTGGAAGCTTCAAAACTTAAAAACTCTTACAAATGTATATACAGCTATAAGTAACACAAAAAATATTAAAAAATTTGGTGAGAACCCCTATGGCCGGTCTCTCACTATTGGAGATGGTCTTATCTCCTCAATAATCTCCACGTTCCTAAAGAAAAAGAGTCAAAGCTTGATTTGAGGAGCACGTGCAACAACAATAAGCGTGGTATCACCTCCACGCTATATAAAAGGGGAAGAGAGGACACCAGCTCATACACATGAGCAAAATAGAAATAACACCAAAAACCAATTCATTAATTTACTTCACTTTGTTTTATAAGATGAACGAAATCATTCTTCTCTCTCGTTGAAGAGGAAAGCTAAAGAAAACCAGCACTGTTTTTCCTTAATCATTTTATCAAATATATCTTTGTATTTAATAACGAAAAACATCACGGGATATTTGATCTAATAGATCACGCAAGAGTATAGACGACTAAACACTCTTCGAACTTGCTATTTACTCACGAACACATCTCATTCGAGATAAACAAATAATCAAACTACGTAAAGACTTGATCCCTTAACGCCCTTAACGGGTACGTAGAGAGCTCGACTCACGACTTCAACTACTTTACTAAATTCTCTCGAGATCTAGCTAGTCTATTAATTTTTTTCCCTAAAACTATACACAAATTTCAAGCGTGAAATTTAGCAACAACAATTACTGTTAAGAGGAGGCCCACTAATTACTCTTTAAGACCCATATATTTTAGTTTAAATTAACAATCGCTATTGAGTTTAACTATGAAGTATGTATGAGTGGAAATTATTTAACAATTTCGTGTTATCTAACAATTTGCGCAGAATTTAATTTTTTAAATAACTAATTCATTATATTCGTCTTCTTATTTTCTTGATTTTATTAGACTTATTCTTCATCTTCATATTATCATAGTTTATTATTTTGATTTTCAATCTCTTTTTCATCTTCAACATTTTATCCTTGTATTTTTTTATAATTCATCTTCATCAACTTTGTATTTTTTTTTCTCTTTTTTTTTTCTTCATCATATTCTGATCTTTTTCTACTTCTATTTCTTCGTTTTTTCTGATTTTGTTTTGTCTCTTATTTTTAATTTTCTTGTGTATATATTTCATCTTATATTTCGTCTTCGTCTGCATACTTTTCTTTATTTTTTGATTTTTTCTTCTACCTTTTATTTTTCTATTCTTTATATCGTCTTTGATTTTCATTTTTATCATCATCGTTTTCTTTAACTACTTCTTCTTAGTATTTTTTTCTGTTTTTACTCGTCTTCTTCTTGATAAAAAATAATGATTATTAACAATATATAAATTAATGAAGTCATTAACTTTAGTATTAATGTTTTTCTTTTATTTTTTTTAAATAAAAAATAATATTATTTTAAAATGTGTGAATTAATTGAATCATTAATTTTTTTTTCATATGCTATGCTAATGTAAACACTTTAAATAGAGAAAACTCTCATATTATATAATAAATTCAATATATATATAATCGGCTGAAACCCTAATCGGGAAAACTTTATAATGAAAGACTTATAGTCAAACTGAAAGTAAAAGACCGCTTCCATGGCGAACAAGGAGAAGCTTCCATGGGATTTGATTGAAGAGATACTCACTCGTGTCCCTCCTAAATCTCTTGTACGGTTCAAAATCGTATCTAAACAGTGGAACGCTCTTTTCATCGACAAGAGGTTTATCAACAAACACAAGAAGATGTTTCGATTCATCTTAAGAACAAGATCCAAGATTTACTCGGTGAGCATCAATCCGAAGATAGAGGTGCGTGAGCTGACGTTAGATATTCCCGGTTTAGATACTCATCAGATACCTAAAAAACTGATCGATTGCAATGAGTTCTTGCTATGTCGCATGGATAAAGGAGCCGTAATTTGGAACCCGTGGCTAAGACAGACCACATGGATCAAGTCCGAGGTTAACCAACCTAATTTAGTGTTCAATGCCCTAGGTTATGATAATAATAATGGTTACAAGACCCTTGCGTCTTATCGGAAGGAATTAGATCCTGCTACTCTTACGTGCTGGAAAACTCATGATCTTTCCTCCGATGCATGGAGGGACCAAAAGGGTGTGCTGATATATGATGGTAGTAGAGAACGTATTACTTTTCATATCTCAAGTGGTGTGTCGTTGAATGGAACTTATTACCGGGCTGCTTCTTATGACAAAACCAAGTACTTGTTCTTTCTAGTTAACTTCGATTTTTCGTGGTATAATTTCAACAAATTTTGTGATCTACCATATAGGGGGAACCATGATCGCGATGCTCTTGTTCTTAATATTTTTAGGGGAGATCGCTTTTCATTGTTAAAGCAATCCCATCTAACAAAGAAGATTGAGATTTTGGTGACCAAGAACAAGATTGATAAATGGAGTGGTGGAGATGTTGAATGGATTAATTTCATGCAAGTGTCGCTTCCTAACTTGCCAGATCTAGTACAGATCGTATCCTACGACCAGCCAAGTTACTTCATTGATGGTAAAAACCTTGTCGTGTGTTCTTATGACGAAACTGGTCGGGTTTGGATCTATGTTTTGGGGGACAATAAGTTGATCAGTGGAACCAAAATAGATCTTGTGGTTGATCCTTGGCCTTTGCATTGTACCTATTCACCCAGTTTGCTCTCAGTTCCTCGAGGTAAAAGAGTAGAAGCAGAATCACAAGTTTAATTTCATTACGTTCGGCTTCTCTTGATTGAAGCTTAAATTGATTTGGCTTTTGGTGTTTTCTTATTCATTACCATATTCTTTTGTTGCAACTAGAGATTTTGCTATAAAAAAAAATGTTTGCTTAATTACTTTGGCATAATAAATTATTTTGGATGAATCCATCTACTTATGTGAACGGCTCAATCTACTGGCTAGATTCATCTAGTTATAAGATACTAGCATTGAATCTTCACACAGAAGAGTTCCATGACGTCAAAAGTCTTCCAATTCGAATCACCCATCAAGCCCAAATGATGAACCTTGACGACCGTCTAGCCTTATCAATGACATTAAAATATGAACAGAAACTAGAGGTTTGGTTTCTTGGATGCAAAAGAAGAAAGATGGAGCAAAACCTATTCAATAAATGTAGCCAATGTAGTTCCTAAGCCCCATCCATGGATGGTTTGGTGGTTCACGCCGGTGATGGTTTCTGAGGAAGGGGATGTTTTGATCTGTGACGACGACAAGAGTTTATTCAAACATCATCCACAGAACAATGTCACTCGTCGTCTAAACAATTACTACTATTATTGAGTCATTGACCCTAACTAAACTTGAAAGTTGAAACGCACATAGATTTATGCTAGATATGTGGGTGCTTTTATGTCCACTCATAACTGCATACAGTTTAGGTCCACGGAGAAAGAATTAGCCAATTAACTGGTTCCGATTAAAATTTGCAGTCAAACCAAGCCACGGGATTAGTGTTTCACAAGTAGTAGTATTAATTAATCAATTGGCATGGAACAAAAAAATGAGAACAGCCTTGTATAAACAGCTTTTTTTAACAAAATATAGAGATTTAAGTGTTTAACGCTTTACCCGTAAAAGCACATGAAAGATGATTGGCATATTGATTAAATTAAGGAATGGCATGATTAGCCAACAATTAGATAAATTACCATGGATTCCTTTTTGTTTCAATGGGTAGTGGTTGGCAAAGCATTTGTAAAGTAAATCTTGCCTAAGAATTTTATCAGTTGTCAAGATTTAACTCCATGGAGTAATATTTTGGGTTTCTGATGATTGAACAATAATTACATTTCATGGATAAAATAAAATTTTACAAAGTGAAAATCAATGGATCAAAATATGTACTCTAATGGTTTGCATGTTGTTGACAAAGAAAATTTATAAAATGAAAAAATCGTAAACTTTAAGCTTCGTTAAGCTTTATAAAAGCGACACACAATTTATTTAAAGCTTTTATAGTGAATCGAAAACATACATGTATAACCATGTTAAAAAAAATATCATTCTACAAAGCACCAGAATCATGTTTATTTTATTTGTTTGCAAATAGTGCATTTTAGATTTTGGAACTTTTTCACAAATTTAAATAGAGTTTTTCACAAATTTAAATTCTGTTATCGTATGAATCGCAATTAACTAAAATTTCCCTTTTGCAATTAGTGCATTTTAGATTTTGGAACTTTTTCCAACAAAATTTGAAACTTATCATATTTTTTTTTTCGGCTGAAACTTACCATACTTACCACCAGATGAAGTGGGTTAGTGGTTAAGTGCAGAGGTTGGTCCCATGTGCTCTAGTTCGATTTCCAGTGGAAGGGATGTTTTACGCCATGTCACCAGGTATTAGCAAAGGCTGGTTCCGGGCCGTGGGGGATTAAGGCCTAGACCCGAACCCCCTCCTAGTTTACAAAAAAAAAAAAAAAAAAAAAAACTTACCATACTTAATAAGTTTCACAAATGGACCAAATGGTTTCAGTTTGTTTCTCTCCTTTTGAAAAAAGTTTTCGTTACACTTTCTCTTCCACGCGCGATTCCGTAGCGCGTCAGGCTTATTTGCCCCTTCCCCACGAAATTAACTTGAGGAAGGGGTTCTAAAAGCCTCACGATCGCAACCCTTTATGCTTCACTTGTACGATCAGAAACTGTCACTTTTAGCTCAGTAACGATCCCTGTTCCGCGATGTAACACAATTTATTTTCAAGTCCCTTTAGTCTAAGCTTCTTGCTACCTTGTTCCCTGTTGATTTTTAAAGACGAATATTTTACACAAGTTATGGTAATTTTGTCTCTTCTATTGACTATACATAATACACGAATTTATGCTATTACTTTAAAAGTGGTTGAATTTGATTTACTACTTCTAATGTTCAACTATTATACAGTTAAGTCATATCATATAAAAATTCAGTGAAGTAGGACAAAAAAAAATCAAGATCATTTGGGGTTCACAGTTTGTGTAATAAAAATATTGGGGCATCGTTTTCATTAGATTGTCAACGTTTGGGGGGTAGGAAGCAAACAAAAAAAACACAGCGAAAGCAAAAGTCGATCGATGACTAGTTTTTTTAACATTTTCTTTCTATTTTGTGATATTTAAATTGCGTCGTATTTGGAGGCATATTCGACGGTCAAGCGCATCAAAAACCCAATTACGCACACTTTTCTCCGCCTCTTCGTCACTCCAAAATTCCTCTGCGTCTTTCTCCCGTCGCCGTCGATCGCCTGAGATCTCCGAACTCCGATCAGCAGCTATGCATTCCAGTCATCTCCTTCTCGAGGAACCGATCAGGATGACTTCAATCCTTGAGCCTTCCAAATCAGTGAGCTATCTGTTTCTCCCTCTCTATCTCTCTGTGTTTTGTGTGATGGTTTGACTTCTTCATACAGTTCTTCGTTTGATTCTCGGTTACGCAGTGGATCTGTTGCGATATTTCATTCATCGAAGCAGTAAATTTCTACCTGATTTATTTCGTTTTCGAGGTTTTTGATTCCGCTTGATGTTATATCGCAGAGCTTCTTCCCTGCTTTGACTAAGATTGTGGGGACTCTGGGTCCCAAATCTCGATCCGTTGAGGTTATAGCCGGTTGTTTAAAAGCTGGAATGTCCGGTAACTATCGATTACTTCCCTTTCGTGTATTTTTGTTTTGTTCTTTTTCTCCAGTTTCGCTATTTGAGACTTGATTTGCTTGGGGTTTTCTCTCGTTGATTATTTGTTGTGTCAATGTTTGTGCAGTGGCTCGATTCGATTTTTCTTGGTGTGATGCTGATTATCACCAGGAGACGCTGGAGAATCTGAAAATAGCTGTGAAGAGCACCAAGAAGCTTTGTGCTGTATGTTCTCTTCTCTGGTTTTACTCTGCTGGATCTTTGGATTCCGTAATGTGCTTACTTTGTAATGCTTAATCTCATGAATTTATAAGATGGTTTTTGGCTTCTCCAGGTTATGCTTGACACAGTGGGACCTGAGTTGCAAGTTATTAACAAGACTGAGAAAGCTATTTCTCTTAAAGCCGATGGCCTTGTAACTTTGACTCCGAGTCAGGATCAAGAAGCCTCCTCTGAAGTCCTTCCAATTAATTTCAATGGGCTTGCAAAGGTTCTATAAGACCCTCACCGTATTGCTTTTGGAGGAATTGAGATATGTAATTCGCTTTTTTGTCCATAGGCGTGTGAATATTGTTTTATTTCTTCAGGCTGTTAAGAAAGGAGACACTATCTTTGTTGGACAATACTTATTTACTGGTAGCGAAACAACTTCAGTTTGGCTTGAGGTATTAAAAAGCTTGCTTATGGAATCATATATTGTTCTCTGTAATTCGATCTTAAAATTATAGATGTTTGTTTTTGAGAAGATTAATCATTTGAACAAACTTTCAGGTTGATGAAGTTAAAGGAGATGATGTCATTTGTGTGTCAAGGAATGCTGCTACTCTGGCTGGTCCATTGTTCACGTTACATGCCTCTCAAGTTCAAATTGGTCTGCCAACCCTTACTGAGAAGGATAAAGAGGTTAGTGTTGCTTCTAATCTACATATCTCAGTTGACCACTTTGTCCTTTCTCTTGTAAAACTCTAGCATGTCTGTTCTAGTGCTGTAACTATTATTTTCTATATTGGTCCTCCTCAAGGTTATAAGCACGTGGGGCGTTCAGAATAAGATTGATTTCCTCTCGTTATCTTACTGCCGACATGCAGAAGATGTTCGCCAGGTCCATATTCTTTTTCCTGATGCTTCTTTTATACCTCCTTACCAGTGTGATTCCTTCGTTTACCCACTACTAATTCCGAGCTTCTGATACACTTTGACACAGGCCCGTGAGTTACTTAACAGTTTGGGTGACCTCTCTCAAACCCAAATATTCGCAAAGATTGAGAATGAAGAGGCATGTGGAATCCATTTTTTTTTGCGTTACATGTCTATCTTTGTAACTTTTCTTTCACTGGCAATGGAGGTGGCTAATGATATTTACCTATCTATATTTATTTCAGGGACTGACCCACTTCGATGAAATTCTACAAGAAGCTGATGGTATTATTCTTTCTCGTGGGAATTTGGGTATCGATCTACCTCCGGAAAAGGTAACTCAAAATAAAGCCTTACTCACTCTCTGACCAGATTGGTGGGTTTCTTATTAGTCATATGCCATTTTCTGGTGCGAAGTGCTAAGTTGACTTTGAAACGTGCAGGTGTTTTTGTTCCAAAAGGCTGCCCTTTACAAGTGTAACATGGCTGGAAAGCCAGCCGTTCTCACTCGTGTTGTAGACAGTATGACAGATAATCTGCGGCCAACTCGTGCTGAGGCAACTGATGTTGCTAATGCTGTTCTAGATGGTATGTTTAGTCTCTGAAATATGTATTTTTTTGCTGCTAATGTTTATAGGAAGAAATACATATTTTTGAATCATAGTTTTGGTCACAACTTGAAGTGGTTTTCTTCCCTTGCACTTTCTGCAGGTAGTGATGCAATTCTTCTTGGTGCTGAGACCCTCCGTGGATTATACCCTGTCGAAACAATATCAACTGTTGGTAGAATCTGTGCCGAGGTAAGCTTAACCTTATAGATCTCAAGTATCATTGTTTCCGTTGCCTTCTTATTATCTCAAGCATCTTAGCCACGGTTAGTCATCTGATTTCCTCTTTACGCATTTATGTACTTGTTAATAGGCTGAGAAGGTTTTTAACCAAGATTTGTTCTTCAAGAAGACTGTCAAGTATGTTGGAGAACCAATGAGTCACTTGGAATCTATTGCTTCTTCTGCTGTAAGTCTTTCTTCTGTGATACATACGTAACTTAAAGGAGTAGTTTGCCTTTCAAGTTTATCATTTAGTCTTCAGTTCTAAGTAAAAGGCTTAACTTCTGCTTGATATCAGGTACGGGCAGCCATCAAGGTTAAGGCATCCGTAATTATATGCTTCACTTCGTCGGGAAGAGCAGCCAGGTTCAACCCATTCCTTCCGGCTTAAACTGCTCCTTTATAAAAACTCTTTGTAAGCTATCTACTGAATTTTTCTTCCATGTTTGTGAAGGTTGATTGCCAAATACCGGCCAACGATGCCTGTCCTCTCTGTTGTCATTCCCCGGCTTACGACAAATCAGCTGAAGTGGAGCTTTAGCGGAGCCTTTGAGGTAAACTGATTCTGTCTGTGTTGACTTTAGAAAATTATTCCAAAAATGAAACTTGGATTTTGTTATGCCACTTGCTAATTTTCAAGATACATGGTGTACGGTTGATGCTTGCTTACTCCTGCATATTCTATCTATGTTCTCGTCTTCCTCAATGGTCAAGTTGGTTCAAAAGAATAGTAACTCTTAAATGTGCTATTAGTTCACAAGATTTAAGTTTGCAAGAAGTTGATATTATGAAATCTAAATCTGAGAAGTCCCACAAGAAAAACATAAACCTTTTTTTAACTTTGGCATATATGAGTTGCTGCCGATATGGAGTTCATCTGATCATTGTCCAAAGTTAACATTGTGTTTGTGAATCTCGTGTTCTTAGGCAAGGCAGTCGCTTATTGTCAGAGGTCTCTTCCCCATGCTCGCCGACCCTCGTCACCCTGTAAGTCTCTTTAACATGTCTATTGCATTTTCATCTTTCTATCTCGCATCCCACTAGATATATCAAAATTTGATTTCACCGGTTGCAAAAGAAGTTGATTCGAAGTTAGTGTATAGTCGTTGGCTTGGTTTGAAACCGTATTTGATCTGGTGTGTATTTTGAATCTGTTGTTTAGGCGGAATCAACAAGCGCAACAAATGAGTCGGTTCTGAAAGTGGCTCTAGACCATGGGAAGCAAGCCGGAGTGATCAAGTCACATGATAGAGTTGTGGTCTGCCAGAAAGTAGGCGACGCGGCCGTTGTCAAAATCATCGAGCTCGAGGATTAGAAGAACTGAAGAAGCCGACTCGAGGAGTCTCTTGTCTCGTCTTTTTTTTTTTTTTCTTTCAATTACTAATCGATTTCTCTCCTTGAGGAAAAAACTTGCGATTCTTGTTATGCTGGCTAGATCTGTTGACCAGATTTTGAGTGAAAATATATCTCCAGGACTTTAGCATTTGTATTTAGGAGATTGTTGTTCGGAGTTATGATATAAACCACTTCCCATTTTATGGTTAATATCTACATTCCCTTTTTTGCAGTTGATAGCTTACATTCTTTTCTCCCCCATCGAATCACATCTCCATAGTAATAATATCTCAGAACTCGCAATTATCCAACCTAAACTGCATCGACTACCTTCGTTTGAAACATCCGATTCAAAGATTAAATTTGTTTGTTTTTGGATTTTGGTTTATTAGAAGCAGTGTACAAACTGAAAAACGTCATTTGGGTTTTCACTTTTTGTTTTGTTTCCCGTTATGAAGATGAGATTTTTTACTATAATAATTGTTTCATGTATCAAAGAGGTCAAAAGCGCCCGTGGCCTAATGGATAAGGCGTTTGACTTCTAATCAAACGATTGTGGGTTCGAGTCCCACCGGGCGTGCTGATTGTATAAACAGAAACCTTCTTTTAATACCCCATGTGCATTTTGCTTACTCGAATTGATTACACATCGATTGATGTTATTTTGTAACGACCACAATAACTGACTATATATTTCCTTTTATTTGCTTACATAACATGATATTGAAAGGACACAATTTAGGAGATCCAAGGACCATTCGTTTCTTTGAAAAGGGAACTATTACTGTTTAGTGTTAAAACGTGTATTTAGTTACTTGAAAGTCCATTTCCTAGTAATTAACTGACTATTCATTATTTAGGAGATCCAAGGACCATTCGTTTCTTTGAAAAGGGAACTATTACTGTTTATTATTAAAACGTGTATTTAGGTAATAATAGCAAAAGCAAAGACAGGTTCTGTCTTCGCTAGTTTGAGACTTGGCAGAACTAAGTACTTGTCAAATTTGTCTGAAAAAAAACAAAACTTCTCGTAGATTTCAGCATGTTCTATAAGCAAGTACGTACGTATATTTCAAAGTCATTAACCGCTGGTAGGGTTTTAACTAACATGGAGCCTTTATCCGTGTAACTAACGAAAAACTCAAGCTCAAAAGAAAAATAAAATATAATGTACCCCTGCTTTATACGAAACTTTCACACTGACACACATACAATCCCTCTCTCGTTATATTTATTTTTATTTTGGTTTTAATGTTAATTCTTGAGCTTTATTTCTCTGTAGCTATATTATATGGTCCTCGTTTCTATTACCATTATGGTTTTTACCATTTACTCACTCAATTTGGTAATTTTTCTCTCTATATATTAATTGGATCCTGACGAATGACGTTGACAAGTACTCCGATCCCAACGGAATTGCAGTGTTGAATTTTAAATATATTTTTTTTATAATAATTCAACATATTTACTATATATCTCATCTCATATTCTACATTTATTTGTTTATAAGCATCGCTACACATCCAAATCCATATATGTTTTGCTCATTGTTGAATACTCATAGATCGAAATGATAATACTATGTTCACTAGTGCACTGTGCTAAAAAAATTCTGTCAGTATTAGCATTGGACCTTTCAGAGTTCTGATCTTTCTGTTTGAGTAGCAGTACTCCTGCGGATACACAGTGGGATATGTCAGATTTGTGGTTAATTAAGGTAAGAGAAAGTGATAGACATTTTTACAAAGTAGAATCTGGACCATTCTCTCTTACTTTTTTCCTCTATATATTACTGTTCTTTTTCTCAGTTCACTTACTGATTTAATTACACATTTTTATTACATATACTAATATCCACATTAATTACTCACGGGATATACTGATATGCATCGATCAGTTTCATGTGCTAAACTCAAACTAACAACTTCAACTGTGAAAAGAACCGGTTTAGTGAGAAAAACTAACAGCAAATTAGCGATGAACTAGACTAAGGGTGGCAGATCCGTCTGCGATCTTATTCTATCCAGTTCGCCAGTTTTTTTTGTGTGTGCTAATAATGTAAATATCATTGAAAATGAAATGTTTAGGGTTTAGTTTTACATATTGTCTATTCTATCTAATTAATTGGTCACATGCCAAAAATCATAAAAAACATGGAAGCAGAAACAATTGTAAATACAGAACTTTAAACTATGAAGCTCACACCATCAAATTGCATTGATCTACCAAGATAAAGCAAAAGACGGTGAAATTAACTACTTAAAAATTTGTGGAGTTGTTACATCCCCAAAACGGAAACTCTTTCTCTGGCAGCCCAAATACTCTCAACACTCTAAGAAGCTTTCAAACCCCGCGATCAAAGACCATACTCATCGTAAATGATTTTTGGTTTGTCCAACTAAAACAAGAACAAATACTAAATAGGACTACACTAGTTGCCAGTTCAACACTAGTTTGTTAGTATTTAATTCTTCACTATACTTTGTTTAATACTGAGATGCATTGTTTTGTCAAAAACATTTAGAGTTTGTTATTCAATCAAAAATTTTGATAAAATCTAAATCCAATTATAATATATTATTATTTAAATCATAATTCAGTCGTTATTCTAAAGTTTGGTTTGCGTTATTCAAATTTTAAACTTTCAAAATATTTTTATAATTTGAATCATTTGAAATGAACTTCAAATATATTTTTATGAGAAATAAAATCTATAACACAATATTTTTAATAATTTTAGTCAGTATAATCCAATAGTATATAACACCCCTTTAGCTTGATTTTTTTCCTCATACTTTTTGGTAGTGAGTGGAGACATGCATGCAGAGCAACACATTTTTTAGCATCTTTTGTGACAGAATCATGTGAAAATTTAACCACACATGGTGATGTTAGGAAAAAAAAAAATAGAATGGTCCGCAGATGGTAAAAGGTCATGCATAAATTCAAGAGGTGTTAATATGTGGATTAGGCGCGATTTTGGTTTCTTTTTCTTTCATATTTAAAAAATTTATGCATATTACTTTTACCGAACAATAGAAATTTATTCGAAAAATATACCAGTCACCAAAAATGCTAATAAAAAAATCAAAAATTTCATAATTGTTATACTTGCATCATAACTTTTATAATCACCTTCAATCAATTTTTGTATTTGCTTTGTACTATTTCCTTCTGCACCATTCATTATAATGCTATTTTTCGGATTATTTGGTTACCGGTTAAAGCCTAAATGGAGAAAGTGGGAAACCATTAAATACACATATTCATCTTTATCAACAGTGACTCAATTAATTACGCGAAGTTAAAAAACAGGAGACCTAGGCTTTTTCAAACATATTTACTTTTATCTATATATCATGCAAATGCATGTAGTAACATTTGCATAAATACTCACATATCATCTTACCTCCAAGTTTCGTATCAAATCCAAAATTGTTCATTTCTTTGTTTGGCTAAAAGGTAGTCTCTTGAAGCAGATTGTTGTATGCAAAAATAGACAAAAGAGGAAAAAGAAAAAGAGAAGATGGAATATTGGAGTAGCCCCTTCATCAATGGCGATTCTTCTTCCATCTTCAACTATCCTTTCCATAGCTTTGACCATTTTTCAGGTAAGTGTATATGCACATGTACTTGGAACTTGGTTAACGAAAATAATTTATACGCTTGATGCTTATTCATTAATTTATTGCTCACTAGTTATAACTATCTTAGCCATCTCGTATACTATAGTATGTTTTGAGATTAGGAATTTAAATATAGAACCTCTATAAATTAATACTCGATAAATTAATAATCATTATAAATTAATAAATTTTGCTGGTCCCAAGTCGGGCCAATGTAAAAATCCATCAAATTCGATAAGATAATAAGATAATAATTTTTTTTGAAACCCTTATGTAAATATATGGTCCCAACAAAAACATAAATTAATAATGATATAAATTTATGAATATATATATAAATTTAATATTCTAAAATATGACTAATGTGTCCGTTTTTAGTTAAAGTTGAAATCTCATTGGTTCTCATCTCTCTAATTATTATATGAGTAGCTCTTATTGCGGTTTTACTATATACATTCAAAAGTTATGATGATTTTTTGATGTGATAATTGATTTTCTTACATGTAAATGTTTTTAAATGTATTGTAGTGTTATCTTCAATTTTATTATCAATAATACTGATAGTAGCCATAGTTTTTTTTTATAAATTTTAAACTTATGAACATGTATATTTTTATATGGATAATCCAATATGGAGAAAACTATTTTATTGTGATAGTTATGATTTTTAATCATAATTTATATTATGATATTTGTTAAAATTTTAAAATATAACATTATTCTAAAATAATTTTTAAAAAATTATATGCAGATATCAATTTTTCTCTATAAATTAATAATTATTAATTTATAGATAAATTAATATCACGATAAATTAATAAAATATCATGATCCCAACATTATTAATTTATAGAGGTTTTACTGTACATATAATTTGAAGGAAACCAAGAAAAACAGATGTTTCTCTTCAGGTACAATGGTGGAGACACAAGGAGTTCCACTTCATGAACATCATGTCCCTCCAGAAATGGTGGGGAGTAGCTATGGAGAAGCAAGCAACAACATCAACGGATATGAAAAGAAGAAGAAGATGACGAGCGAGCAGCTAAAGTTACTAGAGAGAAGTTTCCAAGAGGAGATAAAGCTGGATCCGAACAGGAAGATGAAGCTGTCCAGAGAACTTGGGATTCAACCAAAACAGATCGCCGTGTGGTTCCAGAACAGGAAAGCCAGGTGGAAGAACAAACAACTCGAGCTTCTCTACGAATCACTAAGGCAAGAGTTTGATGTTGTCTCTAGAGAAAAGGAGTTGCTACAAGAAGAGGTATGTATCTGTCATTGATCAGAACAAAGTTAAATCACATTTCAAGTGACATTAACTTTAGCTATTTTCACTTGTTTAAACAGCTTATACAACTAAAATCGATGATAAGAGAGTATGATTCGAGCAAGAAGAAGCAAACTTGGGAAAAAGTCTGCAGCAAGGAAATATCAGTTCAATTCCAACTCCACTAGATTCAAACTGGTCCCAAAATGTAGCTATTGTCCAACAGAAAACATCAATGTCAGGTCCTGTTTCGTTTTTGTATCGGTTCAAGTGATTTCGGTCCTGTTTTGGTTTTTGGTATCAGCTCACATGATATTCATGAAAATGAGTTCTCTCGGTTCACACATAGGTTGCAACTGAAGAACACTATAAAGCAAATATTCTCAGCTTACATCTAAATGCTTAATCAACAGTTTCCACAGAGACAAGCTATCAATAGACCAGCCATGAACTGATCATACCACCAGCAAAATTTGATTAACAATGTGATACAGGCTTCATCGAAGTTCTCAGTTTTACTCTGGCCGTTTTCAGATATCAAGATTAAAGAGAGGGCAACATAAAGGATGCCAAAAAATAATAACTCATAAGCTGAGGAAAAATCTCGAGTACAATATATTAGAGAGGTGCCAAAACTATAAAATACTGGTGACAAAACAGAAGTCAAAACAAGTAAGAATGACAAGTGAAGAGAGATGAGAGCGGCTACTCTATAACTCCATTCAACGTTTGCCACCACCACCACCCATCTTAGCAGCTCTGGGAACTGCAGCCTTGGGGATATTGCCCTTAACTTGAGACTTTTGCTGCTTCGAAGCAAACTCTGCCTTCTTTGCCTTCTTCTCGTCCTTGGTTTTCTTGATTCTCTCCTTGATATCACTGCAGAGTCATCAAGTTTTGTTCTTTGAGTCAACTACATTTTCAGGTTAAGATTATCGAGATAGTGAATGTTTGGGAACAGAAAATAACTAACCGTAGGGCAGCTTCTCTGGCAGCATCACGAACTTCGGGCTTTTCTGATCTCTTCTTCTGAATGACCTCCAAAGTAGCGCCAACGATTGACCTCGAGTAAGGCTTCTTGGTTGCACGTCTCCTCTTCTTCACAGCCTCTTGAGCAGCGTCCTGGAAGAGAAAAAATTAGGATCAGTGTCACAGACCAAAATTAGAATCCAGTAGACTCAATACTATATAAACAAGAACCAAGCAAAAGACCTTTTTGTGCTGCTTTCTGTACATGGCAGTCCATGTAAGCTTGGATGGCTTCAACTTATTGTGGAAGTACCTCTTGCATTTCGAGTTGGCGAACAAAAACACCTGATGAATCATCATCGATTAAAATGATTATAAATCAATCGAGAGAGAGAGAGAGAGAGACATAGGAACAGACTCGTAAGAAAAATTGCAGAAATTTGATTAATGTACCTGAGAGTCAGATCTGATAAATCTGATTCCTCTGCCAGGGTAAATCTTCTGGCCACTAAATCGGCAAAGCTCAGTCCTACATGTCCAAAAATGTCAAGGGCTTAGAGATATTACTCAACATGTCTCAATGTAAACCAACTCCGATCACACACACACACAAAGCAGAACACACATTGAGCTCTCTCATTTTGGAATGTTCTAAGTCAATGGCTAGTAAAATCTTCCCAAGGAGTGCAACTGGATTATGAATGCAATCGATAAATCATTCAGATTTCATATAGAGACCAACTTAGTTCGATATACAAAACAAAAAACAAACTGTAAACAGAACCAAAAACTAGTCATTATCGAACACAATTGTATCACGTACAGGAAAATCTCAAATTGCTGACCATTTTGAGTTTTTGACCGGATTTAAAGGAAAAATCAAATATTTAAGCAAAGCGGCATATTCGACAGTAGCACATTCACACGGATCATTAACAATAATGCTCGTCAATGAGCTGAGAAGCACGAAGAATGAGAGAAAGAGAGATGAGACTGATTACTTGAGAACCATGGCTCCGCCGCGCTGAAACTTATTACACTCGAAGCCCTAAAAATCGAACCTTTAGATAAACGATTTGTATTTAAGGCATATGAAATTCGCCTGAGCCCTAGCTTTCAAGAAATGTAATGGGCCTATTAGGAGCAAATTAAAGGCCCATTTTGAAAGAATTTTAGTACGGTTAAGCCCATTAAACAAGATTTGATGGCCCAAGAGGTTAACATGAAATTTCTCTGTTCTATATATAAGTTTAGCCGAAATTTCATGACATAAATTTTACATTATCCGAAATATTAGTCCCCAGTTTACCCAATTTGTCGGTCAAAATTGACACGGAACATCAATAATGTACATATATATTAACGATCAGATCTTGAAATAATTGGTTTCAACCTGATGTCTATAGGATAAATTCTTATCAAGGTTGGACCAGATGACGTCTCAACTCAATCATTTATGTTGAAGTATTTGACGTTTAACCGCAAACTAGTCTTAACGATTAAATAGTAATGTAGACAGGCCATATGGTCTATGGATCAAAAGGTATTAAATGATTGAGTCATTCTATTGCAACTCTTGTCTAATCATGTGGTTGTCAAAATTGTTGGAACCAGAATAAGTATACTATCTTTAAAATTTCGTAATCACTACAAATTCTTGTGGCTGTACTCTCGATATAAAGGATATGCCATATTCAAAGTGCAAGATCTCTTCAGCCAAAAAAATTTGGAATCACACAGTAATGATATGGTGAGATTTGGCTGAAAATGTCTTTTTCTCAGTCAACTGTCTGAAGATGATGTCTTTGCCAACAACGTTACCAATAGTCCAAAATCTATCGCTCACCAATTAGGATGTTTCCATTGAACATGTGAAAACAGTTTACTTTGGTTTTTTTGTTTGTCTCGTAAACATCCAAAGATGCAAAAATATACGCCGATTTATTTATTGGCTCGCAACCATCCAAAGATGCAATAATATAACGTTAGATACAAAAAGATTGTGCTCAACCCTGTAGACAAATCAAATTTGGTAACCTTTATTTCTAAAAATGGTCCAGAAGGCAATAACATATCACACACGACTTGGATTACAAGCAAATCCTCCCAATAAGACAATCTGATTCAATTTTATTTATTCTTAGTTTCTTACAATGATATTGTTGGACAACCGAAATTGGCCAATAAATCAAAAGAAAAACACTTTGAGAGAAAAATACTTCAAAAAGAAAAAATTTGTTTAAAGGTTCTTCAAGCAAATTGAGGATTCAATGACTGAGCAAATTGAGGATTCAATGACTGAGCAAACTGAGGATTCATTGACTGCTGCAGAAACCCAAGAATCCCATGAACTCATGGTTATGTATCATCTTTAAGCTTCTCTCTATTCCAATCACTCCCATTGTGAGAGCACTGGCACAAATGACTCCTGATAGAACAAAAACGATGATTGACGCTCTTTTCAGGATTGCCACAAGCTTTCTTATAAAGGATTGTCCCCAGAAACCAGCAAGGATCGATACCGTCATCAAGTACAATGCTGCCAATGAAACAAAGATCCATATCATCAGTTTTGCTTACTCTTTAAACGTTTCTCATGTTGTGTGTTTTCAAGATCTTACCGTATGGGATTGGGAATCTCTTGAGGAGATAAAACTCAACTACGGATAAGGACGAAGAAAACATCATCACAAAAGTAGCTGTCGCGCTAGCAACCTAACAAATGATAAAAATATTGAAGAAACAAGATGATCAGATTATGGTTTTAAATCATCTATTGATAAGGATTGTGAGTTTACCTGTGGTATGACTCCAATCTCAAGAAGCAAAGGGCCAAGAACAAATCCACCACCGGATCCAAGGAGACCACCTACGACCCCTCCAACGAGTCCACAGAGAGCACAGAAGATAAGACTCAGAGGAGTCCACTCGATCGTAGCCTCACAGATTGATTCAGTGTTTCCATCACTTTGCCTCTTTTTGTTCTCTGTGATCAATCTCACTGCTTCAAATCCAAACACCGCCAAAGCAACTGGGAACTGCAAACGGAAACAATGGTTCTTAATCATGATTTAGCGAAATGCTGAAGATATATAAAAGATTATATGAGACATAGATATGTTACCTGTAAGATGAAAAGCACCCAATATAGTGTGCTGCAGACCTTGATTTCGTTCTGTATAAACCCGAGAGTTAGATTGATAAGAACTCAACATCACAACATCATGTTTAGAACCAATAAGTTAGAAGAATAATAAAAGGACTACTTGCCTTAATAACTTGGATGAGCAAGAAAGCCAACCACACAGTCACCAGAAGCAAAAGCCGTTTCCATTTGAGGTTGGACCTAATTATTTCCTGTAAGTAAACAACCAAACCCGGTTCTTGAATCTTTATGCAAAGCTTGAGGAGCCAATAAGTTAAAAAAAAACAATCTGCATACTTACCAGTTCTGATTTCTCTTCTCTAGGATAAAGCGGCTCATACTCTGTGTCGATTAAAACTAATAAACAAGAAAGCAGAGAGAATGTGGTAAGATTAGAATCGAAACATAATTCAACATAAACAAAAAACGGATTCACAAGTGTGAAGCTTTTACTAACGTTCTCCTCGGGAATTAACAGTGGAACCTTGTTGCTGCTTCGCTATTTCGTTCTGTTAAAAAAAGAATCACATAAAACATTCAGTATATCCTCACATAAACCACAACAATATTGCTTGATGAAAAACTAAATAACCTTCAATAAAGTCTCTTCCTTCCACATCTCAATGCCTTTAAAAAAAGATCTTGCAGAAGTACCGACGAAAAGAATGATGATGAGGACAGTGATGAGCCAGTAAGGGAACACAACACTGAGGGAAACACCAACAGTGATACCAAGGAGAAGCATTGGTTGAAAGAGAAGAGCAAGATCATAGTCTAAGATTGGTACTTCTTTTGTCGGATGACGAACTCTTACATTGTACCAAACTGATGATGCAGATGCTCCCATTATCATACCTAACACAACATAATCAATATTAAGACACATTCACAACTTCACATCATCAAACAAAGTTATCTCTCTTACATTTTGAGATTGCAGCTGCAGATTTTGTGTCAAATCCAAGAATGAGAGTGAGCATAGGAACGAATATTCCACCGCCTCCAACGCCACCAACAGTCCCACACGCAGATCCTAGAAACGCTATTAAAGTAGCCGCCACAAGTTTCCAGCTAAACTTCAAATCCTACTTTTTCACAATTTTGTGACAACATCAAAAAAGAAACAAAAAAGTCAAAAGTCAACTTATTTTAGATTCTTCCAAGCTTTTGGGTGTAACGTAAAGAAAGTTGAACATGTCCAATCATTTCTATTTAACACGCATCTGTTTATTCAAACGGATTAGCTATTTTTCTATTCAAATGGATTATTTTATAACGACTTAAATCAAATTAAACAATCAATGACTATTGAAAACGACTTAAGTTAATTATGACGAGGGAATACTCGGATTACGTTAAGAAGAAAAAGGAAGAGTCTTTAATTACCGGCCAGATTTTCTCGGTTACAGAGAGCGTAGACGAGGAGGTGAGATTATGAGGATTAGGGTTTGTCTCTCCGACGTAAGAAACGGAGAAGACGGCGACGGAGAAGCCCACGAGAAGATAGAGGAGAAATCCTCCGGTGCCTTTTCCAATCCATAATCCCATTTTCTTGAAGATTAAAACCCTAAATAATCGTCTCAACTGAGGAAGCTTATTGTCTTAAAACGCCAATAGAAATGAAATTTTCGAAAAAAATGAAGGAAAAAAAAATCTGAGTTTTGGTTTTGTTTTTTCTCTGGTCGTGAAGCAGAGAGAACCGTCTTATAAAAGCAGAGTCAGAGAGGTGAAGACGGGAGAGATAGAGCGAGTTTATCAACTATACTCTTGCGTATATTATCACAATACTACCTTTTTTATTAGTCTTACACGTGGCAGGATCTTGTTTTTTTTTGGGTTTGCAAATTTGTTTTTGATTCTCTCAATTTATATATTTGGGAGGCTGTAATCTTTCCTTGTTCTAATCCATAAATAATTGCAAACAATAAAAATATAAGGAAATGAGAAGGAAAAGATTTTGTTTACTCAAAATACTTTTTTGTTCTTTCTTTAACGTAAGATTTCTTTCCAAAAACCATTCTTTATATAGAACAAAGTCAAACCCCGTAAATAGCTGCAACTAATGAACAAAAGAAACAAAATGATATTAATCTTAACTACTGAATTATTTAGTCTCCTTATTCGTGTCTTATTTTGTGATCTTCTTACGGTTTTATGTCAAATGTGTATTAAATTTAAAATTTTATGGATATTCCAACCAAGAATTAATTAGCAACTGGTAGTGAATAAGGAGGATCCACAAGAAAATGCAACTCATAGGATGTGGTGGGCAACTTGTAAAATTGAAAGTTGCAAAATCAGACAAATCCGATGTCAGTGATTGGGCGAAAAATGATCCACAAGAACATGAAAGAAGTGGGCTAATCTGAACCCATGTGGTGGTGCCTACCTTGAGGAACAAGACAAACCTTAATAATTGTTTCCTTTATTTCTTTTTTGAGAAAGGGTTCTGAATATTTGTTTCCCATGTTTTCAATATGTCTTGTTATGTAACACACCGATTAGTGATATTCGTCGGATCCAAAACCATATCTCACGACGACGATATCGAATCACACGTAACAGTAGTTTTTTTTGGGGCTTTTCCATAGATACAATGCAACGGCTAGTTTTGGTGAAATGATTCCTAACCACCAGTGACGACATAATTTACAAGCCTATAAAAATATTGGCTATATAGTAAACAAATACAATACACAATAATAGTCTTGTAACGGCCTGTTGTGAACTTATAATAATCAGTCACGATAAAATAAAATAATTTTTTTTTTAAACTTTTTTTTTTTTTTGGTAAAAGGTTAAAATTTCATACCAAATTTTCAAGATTACATAATAAACGAAACATAATTACAAATATATAAAAGCAGAGAAGCGAGACGCCAAAAAGGTTACAAACTATTAGCTGATGGAGCCGAGATTTTGGAAGTAGAGCTCAAGCAAGGAAGGAGCGATCGCCGAGGAAGCTGGGAACGACAAAAGCCTGTCGCAAATCAACCTATCGATAGCCCTTTTAGTGGTAGCTGCACTGGAGGAGGACCCTCTGAAGATTCTAGCATTACGTTCTTTCCAAACAAGGTAACAGATAACCTGGCAGAGAAGCTTGAAGATGGGCGCTGACGAGGAAGAACGAGCGGTGTGATTGTTACAGAACCATAACGCCGAAGCATGGAAGGATGAAGGCAGATTTGGCCAAAGAGTTCCCCGAAAGAAAGACCATAGTTCCGCAGAAAAAGGGCAATCAAAGAAAAGGTGCTCATGGGATTCCATACCTGCGGAGCACAGAACACAAACACCAGACACATTCAAACCCCATCTTATTAACCTGTCTTTTGTGGGTAGCCGTTTTAACATGATCAGCCAGGCGATAAAAGAGCATCGGGGGACTGCTTCTTTAAACCAAACAAGCTTATGCCAATAAACAATGGTTGACCGCTCCCGAAGTTGCTCCCAGGTTGCTTTGGAAGAGAATGTTGGGAGGTGATTCCCTGCCGCATTACGCCATAGAAAAGAGTCATGACCCCGTGTATCCTGCGGAGCAGAAAGCGTAGAAAGAATTATCTGCAGATTCTGAGATTGATCCGAACGAGCTGGTGGGAAACACCATTCACCAGAGGAGGAAGCTTCAATGACTTTTGCATCTCTGCGGATACGCAGTTGACGAGGTCCAGTGTTACCAAAATAAGTTATTAACGGCCCGAGCTCCGTCCAACAATCAAACCAGAAAGAAGCCTCTTTTCCGTCGCCTAATTCACATTTGAGGAAGTTCGCAAGATGGTGCTTAAGCTGCAGCATACTCCGGATCGTTCGAGAGAACCGGTTAGCATCATCTGTAAGCCAAAAACTCTTCCTCCCAAATATGTGAGACTTGAGCCAGGCAACCCATAACGATCCCGCATTGGAGAACAGATTCCAGACTTGCTTCAATCTGAAAACCATTTGGAAATCCTCTAGAAGCCAAATTCCCAATCCACCTTCAGGTTTAGGTTTACAAATGTCACTCCAAGCAACTCGAGCACCAGAGGCGGAGGTTGTTTTGTTCTTCCATAGAAATGCGGAGCAAAGAGAGTCGATTCGAGCATAGAAACTTTTGGGAAGATTGAACACCGAGCTCCAAAAATTAACCATCCCGTATACAACCGAAGCGATGAGTCTGATTTTTCCTGCGAAGGACAACAGACGAACAGTCCAGTTATGCAGCTTACTAGTTATTCGCTCAATAAAAGGCTGGAGAGTGGCTAGGGAGATTCTTCTGGGATTAAGAGGTAAGCCGAGATATCTTGTTGGGAAAACTCCCATCTTGAATCCAGAAAAACTACTCAGGGCATCCGTCTCAACATCTGAATATCCCCCAAAGAAGATCTCGGTCTTAGTAACATTCATATCCAATCCAGATAGCTTCTTGAATTCAGACATCACATCCTTTATTCCAGTAAGAGAGTGACGAGATCCATCTGAAAAGATGAGCAGGTCATCGGCGAAGAGGAGGTGGGTGATCCTCGGGCTGTCACAAAGAGGGTGAAGCTTTATTTGGTTGTTATCCACTGCGTTCTCCAGCAATTTCGACAAGGCTTCCATAACCATAATGAAAAGATATGGAGAGATACAATCCCCTTGTCTGAGCCCTTTTTCCCAGAGAAGAAGCCCGCTAGCTCACCATTAACAGCAACCGAAAACCGAGGGGAGGTGATGCATTCCTTAAGCCACGATCTGAACATAGGAGGGAAGTTCTGAGCTTCTAGGATTTTCAACACAAAGTCCCAACAAACTGTATCGAACGCTTTGCGGATGTCGACTTTCAGCATGCAACTTTTCTGACATGAGCTCTTCTCATAGTTCCTGATTAACTCCGATGCCAGAAGAACATTTTCTCCTAAATTCCGACCCTTAAGGAACGCCGCCTGATTAGGACTAATGCACTCTTGCAGGACAGGCTTCAATCTGTTAGCTATAATCTTGGCTATGACCTTGTAGATTGTATTGCAGCAACTGATTGGTCTATAATCTCCGAGACTACATGCTTCCGATTTTTTTTGGAATGAGGGCAATTATGGTGTTGTTGAAATCCTTCAACAGCCTCCCATTCCTGAAGAATTCTTTAATAGCGGCCACAACATCGGCTCCAACGGTTACCCACGCAGCTCTAAAGAATTAAACGGAATACCCATCCGGACCTGGACTCTTATTGTTTGGCATTGAGGCAATAGTCAGCCTGATCTCTTCCTCTGTGACCTCTTTCTGTAGATCTGATCTGTGGCTTTCAGAGCATCTGAAAGACAGTAATGCTTGAAGTTGATTGACTGTGACCGAAGACAACGACATTTCTGTATTGCCCAGAATCCCCTGAAAATAACGAGCAGAATGACCCTTAATATCCTCGGAGGAATTCAACCTAAGACCATTATCATCGGTGAGATAGTGTATGTGATTTCTTGTAAGCCGCTGAGCCACAGTCCTGTGAAAAAACAGCGTGTTGCGATCTCCCAGATCAAGCCATTTAACACGCGATCGCTGGTGATAAAATTTCTCCTCTGCAGTGATTAATGTTTTCCACTTAGCCCTAACCAGATGTTCCTCTCTTGCAGTTGCTGGGTCAGGGTTAGTGAGAAGAGCTTGCTGCAACGTCTTTAGCTTAAGAGCTTGCTCCTTAATTCGTTCTGTGATACCGCTGAAGTGGCTCTTGTTCAATTCCCGGATTACCGGTTTCAAGCATTGCAGCTTTCTAGAGAGAATAAATTGATCCGACCCAATAATTTTGTCATTCCCCCATGCTTCCGCCACTGCATCCGAGAAAGAGGGATGATCAATGACATGAGTGAAAAACTTGAAAGGCTTACGAACCTTCCTCTGCGCAGACGGAATGCGGAACAGACAAGCGGCATGATCAGATTGCTGAGGTTCCTGAAAATCAGCATAAGAATCAGGAAAGGAGTCTGCCCAAGCCTGATTTATAAGGGCGTGGTCAATCTTCTTAGCAACAGGGCGAACGTCTTGACTGTTCCACCATGAGAAAGGGAGACCTTTAGATTGAGCTTCAAATAAATCAGCCTCTTGCAGGGCGAGATTGAAATCCTCCACACCAGATAAATCCACATCGTCGGAGAGGAAACTAGAGTGCTGAGAGGCCCGAAGGATCTGATTAAAATCCCCGACTACAGACCACGGGTATCTCGAGACAGGAGAGGAAGCATTAATGTCTTGTAGCTCCGCCCACAGAGATGCCCTATCCTCCACCTGGTTAAAGCCGTAAACAAAGGTTACTGTTAGACTCAGCCCCTCTGCTGGAACATAAATCCCACAAGTTACAGCTTGCGCAGAAGCCTTGTAGATAAGAACAGAAATCGACGGATCCCACACAACCACAAGCCTTGCCGTATGATGATACTCAAAGTTCCCAAAATACTTCCACCCAGCTGGAATAGCCCTAATTATTCTTCCAATATTTGATTGATGAATATGCGTCTCGCTAAACGCTCCAAAAAGCGGACGATGGATATTAATCCAGTCCTTTACCATAGTGTGGCGTCTATCACAATTCAGTCCACGTACATTCCACGCAAAAAAACTCATAATGATGAGGGATTAGTTTTTCGCAGCCTTGCGACTGCTCTTCTTGGATTGAACCAAAAAGAAGGGAGCTTCGTCGGAGTCATTCTGGACCTCCTGACGCAGCGGTGGATCATGAACTTCGGCTGACAAAATCGATGACTTAGTCAGGCTTGCAGATGGAGCAACACCTGAATCGGTCGGTGACTGAATCGGATGGTGATTTCTGGGATCTACCGGTGCCACCAACACGACTGCTGCAGGACATGTCCCCAATGTTGATGATAGCGCTAGATTAGCTCCTTGAGACTGGGATTCCAATTTCATAACTTTGGGAACGTAAATCATAGCTGAAGCATGACGCCGCCGCAATCCTCCTACTGAAGCAGAAGTTTCTGAATTCTCCATGTTACTAACTCGATGAGAGGAAGAAGAACCCTTTATTCGCACTTGGATAGGGTGTTCATGGCTTTGATCAATTTCCCCTTCTTCTAATGGAGAATAGATCCCACTTAAGCGATTTGATTTTGCTCTACGAGCCCGCGATTGACCAGGTCTAGATCTCTTTTTGCGCTTTGGTTCTAGACTAGGCGACCTGGTACACTTCCTCCTTCCTGAGGGGTGATGCTGAAGCTGCGAAGTACATTTCATGCTCTCATGCCCAAACAACCCACAACTCTGGCATTTAACCGGCAACCACGGGTAAGAGACAGTAATCAACACTTCACGACCACTTGAGAAACCTGAAACCACCCTCGTAGGCAGTTCCTTCAAAAGATTTACTCGGACGTACACTTTAGCCACCTCAAAGGTTTGCTTTCTTTCTGTTTCTGGGGCTAGCGCGACAGGAGTTCCAATTGCTGTAGCGATTCGACCGAGGCTTTCCTTATTGAAAAGCAGATATGGAACATCGCGAAATTCCACTGGAACCACAGCAGATGAGAGAGGTGGCTCTTCTGGGTTGAAATCGGGAGACCACGGCGCAACAAACATGGGGAACCCTGCAATGGTCCACAAATTCCTGCTCAAGATTAGCTCCCTGGTTCGCAGTACTGTAACTCGGAGGAGAAAGGTCTCAGCACCGATATTATGAACGATGATTCTAGGCCCATTTCTCGCCCAGATAGCGTTGACAACTCCGATGATTCTACCCATGCTGGGGGTGTCACCGTGAAACCGGGCAAATAGGAAGTCTTTGAACTCCTCCTTTGCAGCTTGAATGTTTTCATCCGGAATAAACACAAACGGAACTCCTGAGTCATGCTGCGATGGAGTACCGATTTCTTCAAGCTGGAGGGGATCTTTCAGCAGGCTCGCCCAAGGGCGCTGAGGTGGAGAGTTAGCTCCCTGAGGAGCGGAGGCCTTAACAGCATCAGTAGGGGGCTCGGCGCTGGAGGATGGACCTTCAACAGCTAAGGGAGTAATCGCTACTGGAGCAATCGGCGCAACAAGCTTGTCCGAGTCTGAAACAGCAAACTGCTCAGTTCCCGAGACAGGATTAATTTTCAGATCTAGATCCACTTTCTGCGGAGAAAGGGATTGTTGAATCTGAGATGAGGAAATGACGTCTGACTCAACATCAACGGGGCCAGGGATATCAGATCTGACATCAGAGGCAATAGTGGAGTCACGGGAGCTCTGCTTCATCTGGACGAACGCAGCAATGGAGGCGATGGAAGCGACACGCGCGAACTTGGAGGTATTGACAATCTTCGGCCTGACTTTCTTCTTAAGAGGGGGCATTGCGCCCGGCGAGAGGCCGGCCTTCGGAGAGACGAATAGGGAAGGAGAGTATCGCTTTTTCCAATTCGTTAGCGCACCATAAGTGAAACTTTCTTACTTTAAGTCCCTTTTTTAAAACTTAAAAGTAAAATATTGATTAACCCATGATTTTGCTCACACTTAAGGGAAACCATTCCATTAGAGCAGCTAAAAACAGAATTTCGAGTCCGTTGTAAATCTTTGCTCTAAAAGTCACAAGATTAACCCATTACCAAGTGAGAAAAATTAAAAACCAAATCTTTAAAAAAGTCGAGTAAGAATACAAGACAGGGAAATTATCAGAAAACGTTATTTGCTACAACAGGTTCCATGCCAAACGGAAGGCCGAGAAAACACATATTCTTGTTTTTAAAGGCCTGCCTCAGGCCCAATACGCGCCGATCTCTCAAAGCTTTCCCTTGTCTTTCCGAGCCTCATCATCCATCCGTCCAACGTCGTTGAATGTTTGACCGGACATCTGATCCGACGCTTTCAAGGACGTAGCCACTTTACCAGGCTTTGTATCTTCTACTTTGACTTCAACCACAGTCCTCCCCGTGCTTCCATGCTCACGCGCCGCGCGTGTCTCCTCCACAATGTCCGATGGCATTGTGAGTTTGCTCTTTATGGCCTCCGTTACATTCCCTAATGCACCAAATATTGTCCCCTTCGCTTCATTTCCCCTAAGTTTATTATTGTTTATATAATACGAAAAACAAAGATTAAAGACTAAAAACATAACAAGATTAAACAAAACGTCATTTCTTCATTAAGTTTATTTACCTAACAGCAGCAGAATCTTTTGTTTCTTGGGCTTTTTCAGCTGCTGAATCAGTACTCTCCTTAGTCTTTTGAGATGCCTCGCGTGCTTTTTCTCCAGCTTCGTCTTTGAGTTCTTTACCCTCTAATCTCATCTCCTCCATCTTTCTCCTCGTCTCTTCTCCAGCTTCCTCCATTTTTTCCTATTTGATCAAAAACAACCATATTATATTCAACCATTTGACTCGTACTCCACATTTACATAACCACACAAAGTTAAAAGAAATTACCTTGGCTGAGTCTTTGGTCTCCACAGCTTTTTGTTTGGTTTCATCTGCCTTCCCTGACAAGAAACCCATAGCTCTCTTGGCCGTATCAAGAGCACTATCCTTCAACTCTCCAAGCTTACTCACCCCAACGTCTTTCCCTTCAGTCGCCTTCTCCACCGTATAGTCCTTATACTCTCCGGTCTTCTCCACCGTCTTATCCTTTGCTTCAGCCGCCTTCTCCGCCGTGTAATCCTTAGCTTCCACTGCCTTATTCGCCGTGTAATCTTTAGCTTCCACGGCCTTATTCGCCGTGTAATCCTTGTACTCACCCATCTTCTCAGCCGTCTTATCCTTAGCCTCTTTAGCCTTATCCGCCGTGTAATTCGCCGTCTCTTTCGCCTTCTCCGCCGTCTTATCCTTTGCTTCCACCGTTTTATCCACCGCGTAGTCTTTGTATTCGCCCATCTTCTCTGCCGTCTTATCCTTCGCTTCTACCGCCTTCTCCGCAGTCTTGTCTTTAGCCTCTTTAGCTTTATCAATCGTGTAATCTTCATACTCGCCGATCTTCTCCGCCGTGTAATCTGCCGTTTCCTTTGCCTTCTCGACGGTTGCGTCTTTTGCTCCAGCCGCTTTCTCTGATGCTACCTGAGCTCCTTCTCTCGTCGACTCAGCCGCGTCTTGGCTTTTTCCGACGACGGCGTCTCTTGCGTGTTCGTATGTTCCTTGCACAGCTCTGAACATGGATCCTATCACACCTGGCCTCTCTTGCTCCGGTGGATGTTCAATTGTTCTCTCCGTTACTTTATACACACCACCACCGTCTTTGTTAATGTCATGCAAGTCTTCAGCTGCTAGCCTTGCCGCAGCTTCGGCTCTCTCCGCCTTTTGCTGTCTCTCCGACGCCATTGCTCTTCTTGATTGCTTAAGCACTGAGTTATGGATCTGTGAAATTTGTAAGTACTTCGAGATTTTTGAAATCTTTTTTTTACTTGTGTTACTAGACGAGGTGCTTTTGGATGCTTCTTATAGTAATTTCTCTGTTTCTGTGGAGGCTCCACGTGGTGGAAATGCAGATGCAGCAGCTGCCACGTAATTAGCTTCTTTTCCTTTTTTCTGCTTCTTCTTGTCTTCCAAATAGCCATTTATGCGACACGTATCTTAGATATAGATCGTTTTATCCTCTTGGGATGTACCTTGACACGTGGACCTTCTCATGCATGGATCTTGAGTAGTGTTCATGGCCTGACTTAATACATAAGCAAGCATTGACGGTCGTTTCAATATCTTTGAGATCATGATTCTGCGCTGCTTGAGGAATTTATATATAACTGAGTTAATGTGCTATATAGCCTATTGGTGAAATTGGGAACGTGTTCTCTTACTTCTTTTTATCACAATTTGATCACATAGTCTCTAGTCGAACATATGTTTCGTAATTGGTTAATACTCAATTCCTTTATTTATTTTGGGCACGAAACTCAAATCCTTTATTTTGGTAAAGAAAACTTAAATCCTTCATTTTTACGTACATATAAACAATGAGATATATATTTACTTGTTTGAGAATTGAGATGATTCATATCGTGTTTTCTAATTTAATTCTTTAATCCATATAGATTGTTTTGACTTTTGATAGAGACCTACTATTAAGCATCTAAATTAATTACGTTTAACTTTTTTTTTCTCAGCAAATGAATCACGTTATCTCAGATTCTCACACAGAGACTAGTGTTAGGTTAGGTACGTCATTCTTTTTTTATTATTTCTCCGACAACATTGTGACGCGTAATTGATCTCGAATCATCCAAATCGGCCGTTACGTTTTGCACATGATTCAAATTGTAGTTAATTATTTATATACTCCATGTGTTTGCATGAAGTTGTGTTTCGATTTAATTAACCATAACAATTTGGAAAGCAGCATAAAGTGTAGATACGTCGTACGTGTGAGTGTGAGTACACGCTTGTGTCGTGTAAGTGGAGAACCAGATGCCCAAGCGAGTAAAGAAAGCAATGGTCAAAAAGCAACCGATATCAACTACCTTTTATCATATTAAAAACAAAACCCAGTGAAAAGGGAAACAAAAAAGGCACACACCAAGGGAAAAGAATAATCTTACAAGACATGTCTCCTCCACAACAAAAAGTAGTATATAAATTATCTTTAAAATACCGTGATTCGTATAAATCCATTTAAATCTGATCAAAGCCTCACAAGATCGATCATTTAATTATCTCGCTTCTGATGATCATCTAAACGAGGAAACATTTTTAGTCAGAGAAATACTTTGGACTTGAAAGTATAACAGAAGCGACTAATGGATGGTTCAGGTCCAAGAGAAGGAGGAGGAGCTATGAAGCCGGTGATATTGAGAGTTGGTGTTGCTCTTGTATTATCAGCAACTGGTTTGATCTTGGCCAGGTTCGTTTCTCGGAAAGAAGATAATGAGGTAACTTATTCTGCAAGCAATCCAGCGTCTTCTTCATCACCTGGCAGAAGAAATGATGGAGAAGATGAAGAAACAGAGAGCTTAGATGATCATCAGAAGCGAGAGATTCTCGGATTAAAATCCAGATTCGAGGAGCTTCAGAGGAAGGAATACGAGATGGAGTTGCGTTTCGAACGTTATTGTAGCTTGAAAGATCAAGAAGTCATGCTTATGGAGCACAAAAGCATGCTGGTTCTTGAGAAAGCTCAATTAGATTTCTTCCGCAGAGAAGTTTCTGCGATGGAGGAAGAACAAAAGAGGGGTCAAGATTTGGTGATTGTGTATCTCAAACTGGTGGGAGAAATCCAAGCGTTGAGATCAGAGAATTGGTTGATTGAAGGGAAAGCAAAGAAGCTCAGGAGAAGAGGAAAACAGTTATACCACGTTTTAAACGAGAAGAACAGGAGGATTATTGCCCTGGAAAAAGAGTTCTTGAAGTGTATTGAGGATTTGGAGATGAAGAATAGCGTTGTGAAGGAACTTGAAGGTGAAGTTAAAGACCTAAAAGCTAACGTTAATGCGTTGCAAGAGGAAAAGGAAGAAGTATACAAGAAGTCATCAGAAAATTCTAAATCAGAGGTAAGTATTGACTTTTTGGATCCAAATTCAATGATTCGACTCATTTTATGTTGATTGGCACGTTTCTTGCTTTTGTGAAGATGGTGAGTGTAGAAGATTATAGAAGGGTATTAGAAGAGTATGAGGATTTGAAGAAGGAATTCGCTAATGGAGTGAAGGAATTGATTAACCTGAGATGGAGCAATGCTTGTTTGAGGCACCAGGTGATGAGAAATGGAACCAATTATGGGGAATTAGCGTTTTCTCCAAATCGAAGCTTGCAAGAGTTGGAAATGGAGGATCAAGCGGATGCTCTAGCATTGACAGTAGCTGATGAGCATCATGAAGAGGATAACCATGATGGTGATGAAGAGAATAACCATCATCATCATCATGAAACTTCAAGGAGGAAGAGGTTGATGAAGAAGCTTAAGAGATGGGTCGAAGGAAATGAGAAGGGAAAACCAACAAAGCCAGAGGAAAGATGTTTCGGAAGGCACTCTTTGACGATAGAATCTGACGAAGAACGGATGTTTCATTCAAGAAGATCGTGTTCTAGCGTGTAAAGTAGCAAGTCTTGCTTTGCAAGAGAAGCATTGAATGTTTTCAGGATTTCTCCAACCCTAACATAGTCATGGTCCCATGAAAATGAGTTATGCAGTGTATTGTGCATACGAAAACAAAAGCAAACTAACAAACCAATCCAAGAACTGAAAACAAAAGCAAACTAACAAAATAATTTTAAACCGTTTTTTATTCTCGTTTTCCAAGTTTTGAAAGAAGATATGATAATAGAATTTCTAAAAAGAAAACATATATTGAACAAGGAAAACAAAAGTAACTGAGGTTATACAGAAAGTAGACCTGGCTCTAAAGGCCACAATTAACCTTTTTTCACAAGGAGTGTTATCTACAATTAAAAACGGCACTACTAAGTACTTACTACAACAGAGAAGATGTGAGAATGGTGAAAGAATCAACAAAAATCAGCTACACTATTCTAAAGCACAAAAACGTGAAGCTCTATAAATTTACGTTAAGGAGAAGAAAGTACATAGAAGTAGAGCCAATAGGACGCTAGGGAACAATTTTAATAGCATGTCCGTTCTTGAGATACTCAAGCCTGGTTGCCCTGAGTTTACAATATCCTTTCCTGAAGTTACCGATACATTCACAGACATCGAACCTGTCAAACAAATTCAAGTTTTCTAAGTTCAGAAGAAGAAAACCGATGACCATATTTCCCTAAATGACATGACTATAAAGATTTTATACTTACAATCATAGTCTGCCCATCCAATCCGTTGCCGAGCAAGATCATACACAAAGACTTTATCTTTAAGGACAAGGTCTGCAAAACAAAACATGATTGATCAATAAACACTGTTGGGACCGGACAAGCAAATGCAGAAGTCATCATTTTTTAAAGCTCAATGCCTTACCTCCTAAAATGTTTTGTTCTTCCGGAGCTTTCGAAAAACCAATGCACCACATCGATGCTCCATCCTGCTAGACATGAAAGACAAAGTTAATAGATTACACATAAAATCAGGCTGTTTTAGAGCTATTAGTTTTATGTATATATAACTAGTAGAAGAGCTTACATAGAAACCATAATGAAATAAATAGTCCTGAGGTCTTAACATCATTGATGCACCCCCAGCAAAATTGAGACTAACCGAAGGAAACATATCACTTATGCTGCAAAAACACACAAAACCAAGAGAACTCTGCCCTTAACTTTGAACTAGAGAAGAAAAGGATTTGGACATTGCAGTTGTAGATAAGGAGGCATACCTAGTCGAGACCAAATAGCAATGCTCTCCATTAGAAATGATCGGCGTTGCCAACTGTGACACACTGTTTGTTATCTGCAGATACGAAATAATAACATTAAGATGTGAAAGCCAGAATCTCATGCAAAACACACATGGAATTAAAAAACTTACAGCATTGAGAAAGGGATCGTAAGCCTCTTTCACCAAATATGTCAAAGTGGTTCCCGTGTCAACAATAGTCCCACGGGTATTTGATGTTTCAAACGCCACTGCATCGATAGGCAGCATCTGTCCATTCACTCCAATGCTCAGCAGATTTAAGTTATAGTGAGGCCTGTAGTACGTAATCAAGATTCAACATTTCACAACGAGTTGGGAGGTAGCAAAAGACTGAATAAATCGGGAGGCAACAATTTGTTAGGATCCAAGCTGGTAGTCTCCTTTAATCAATTCACGAAAAATCCCTACTCTCGGCCCAAGTCCCAATCCCAAACGCCCCACTTCGCTATTAACCTGTTAGCTCTCTAACCTGAGCTGTCAACACAGCCACAATTCACTACAACCACCAGTGCTATGTATAATACTCATGCTCTAGAGTCCAGACTAACACAAAGACTTATCACAATTTTCAGCTTGTGACAGCATAATACAATCAGTGAGTGAATATTAGAGAAGGTTAAGTGAGCTTACTGTGATGGGACAAGAGGACTGTAAACCATTCCTGGGACCAATATCTCGCCAAGGACAAAGACACCGCCTCCACTACCATCTCCTTTCAAGCAATGAGAAAACACTGGCGGTGTAATCCCTCGTGAAGACAGCTGAGAAACAACTGACAACTTTCCCTTGCCAAAACCAAATATTCCATCCACTGCTTTGTCTGACTTTGTCAAGTCCCCAGATTGGTAGGTACTACAGCTGTTACATTTACAAGAATCATTTCACATAGTTTAAGATCTTCAATCAGCCATACTCTCTCATGCAAACACAAGGGTCAGTGTTTGAAAGCTCTCACCCGAAAACAATAGGAGCAGATGAGTTTGCAACCAAAGACACTCCCAAAATCGCGTCAAAATAGAACGTGTCAGTCATGTAGTAACCCGAAGTCCCACTTCCATCGCCATAGCGAAAAGAGTAACCGCACTGGTTATTCTCAGAACATTGTGCAGCTGTTGTGTGAAAAGCTGAGGAACAAATCGGATCTGAACAAGTAACAGAGCCAGCAGTCAAGGAACCAGGAGCGTCAAAGAAATGGAGCTCGATCTGAAAATGAATTTGGAAAAAGAGAAGGATAAGTCCCTTCACACTTCTCTAATTCTAATCCCCAAAGCAAATTCTACCAAGTATAAACTAAGATAAAGCTACTTACTCCAAGTCCACTGGAGCGAGGGCAATTAGTGCAAGAACCACAAGTAACCCACAAGATATCACTTCCAGTATCAATCTGAACATTGAATTCAGTGGGAGGAGAACCCAATTTCACCTTTGTGAAATAAAGCCTACCAAGAAACAGCATACAAATATATTACATAACAGAAGATTTGTTCCACATAAAAAAAGCTGATAAAACCCTTATAACAAAAAGGAGAGATCCAATAACAGAGTGTGCACATGTGACATACATAGTCGTCTTGGAGCTGCAACAAAGAGAAGAAAGGAGACAAAGTGAATAAGATCTTAACTCAGCATAATAAACCCAACAAAAAAAAAAAGGAAACCATACTAAAAACTCCGAAACCCTAACTATGTCAATTTCATCACATAATTTGGTAAAACAAATCAAAAGCGAAAGTTTGAAATGAAGGCTAATACATGAAACACGAAATTAGAGTGCTCCCGAAAAGGAAACTCCTCAAGGTTAAGAAATTACCCGACGAGGAAAGGATCGGAGGAGCCTTGAACTGGAAAAGCCACGACGCCGTCGATGGAGCTTTGGCGACCGCCTCCCAGTAAGATTCGCGCGTGCCTGACACGGTCACGCGCCCTGAGCTCACTCAGCTCCACTGGCTCGTCGAGAGGAAAAGCCCTTTCTAGAGGAAAAATCTTGGCCGGACCAGCTGCGTAACTCGCAAACGGCGACGCGAACCCAGTTATCGCCACCGCAAACGCCACCGTCGCAGCCAACATCAGGCGCCGAGAGATACGCATTCAAGTAGTAGCTCGTTCGAATTCTGGTTATATTCCCAATAAACGACAAGTTTACAAAGAGCGACACAATTGCTCGATTCTTCGCATCGAGAAGGAGAGACAAGAAAACAAAAAGAACTGTCAGTGAGAAAGAGAAAGGAGAGAAATGTTCTTAAAAGGAGTGCTTACAGTGAAGATATATATATGTATTCGAAATTATTGATTTGGTTTAAGTTTGGTTTTGGTTTGGTTTGGTTCGATTTTGTGACTGTTCATCTTGATTGTGTTAGCTAATTTATTAATTAACGATTGGTAGATGGTTGCTTCGTCCTCTCTATTATAACTAAATAACTTTCGTATTTCCTTCATCTTCCTTCTCTTTTACATAATTTTCTCAGTCAGATGAAGATTATGAAACTATAAACAATAGATAATAGGGCATAAAAACAGGGAAACAAAATTGTTTAAATATCGGATGTTGGTAAAGGTAGTAGTAAGAGCATATATATATGAGAAGATAGCTTTCTTATACGACATATTAACTGATAATTCACAACAACATAAATTGGATTCATAAGTTAAGATATAGTTAAATTTTAATATTAAAAATTGACTTGCAGGTGTGGATGTCTGGTCATGCTTCAAAAGGGCACGTCAAAGAATGAGGCTTGTAGATTGTGGTGTTATTTTCTGTTATACATATTATAACGTTTCTCGTCAGTTTTCATAACCACATTGATATTCCCTTCGATGTTTCACACAATCACACCCAAATAACAAAACTATTCAAATTCAGAAAGAACATTACAAGATTCAGACTCAGAGATCATAACATGATTCTGTAATCCAATAATATTGATATTCAGATAGATCTCAATAGTGAACCATTTTTAAACTTGTTTCTTTTACTTACACACCGAATTAAGAAAAGAAAAACAAAACATATACTTCAACCGATGGATGAAGTTTTAGCAGCAAGATGAATCAAAGCGCGTCGATGATACTGACTTCTTAGCTTCTTGTATTTCTGCACAAATGCAGCTGTATCAATATCCTTCTCCATGAACTTCTGTTGCAGCTCCTCGGATTCTTCATCGGCCTTGTTCATAGCATCTACGATGAACAAAAACCGGGACTGTGTTTAGAAACCGATGCTCATAGTTTTGTTACACATGAAGGATAGTGAGTGAAGGAAACTAATGTTTTACCTTGAAGTCTATGAAGGAGAGAGCCTGGAGAGTAGAATTTGAGGATTTCATCTCTTTGATTCTCTAGCTCATTGAGCTTCTCTTGAGCAGTTGCAAGCTCGGTTGTACGGATTATTCTACACTGTTAACAAATTATTTAACAGATGGTGAGAAAGTTTCGCATACTCAACATATCTCACTCAAAATATGAGTAATACACCCACCTGGTTTCTGAGCTCCACTATCTGTGGTTCCTTCTCCAAATTTTCCCCTGTTATATTAGCATTAATGTTTAAGATCTCTTGATGAAACTAGAATTTTCGTCTTAAGTAAAGTCTTGCGAGAACTCACTAGCTAGATGTAATGTTTCTTTGCGAAGCTCTTCTCTGATCTGATGAACATAAGAAAACGCACTGGTAAAATTATCTCAAAAACGTAATTAGTGAAGTAACTACATTTCTTAAAGCAAAGGATAATTTTTACTTCCATGTTTCGGACTTACGTTGTTTTGAATTGTGACCTGGTCAAGCGAGTGCAGAAACTGTTGATACGCATCCTTGTCAGACAGAAGCTTCCTGAGCTCATCCACACTGGAGAACAAATATTGAAAATGGGAAATGTGTGAATTTGTGAAAAAAGCATACAAGATCAAACAACCGATGATATCCTAATCTATCTCTGTAAATTAGCAACACAACACAAAATCACAGAGAATTTCAGCAACAAACAGTGGGAACCAGTAAATCTAGGCTTTGTTTCAGGTTAGCCTAAACTCTCCCAAGCCTAAAAGGACTAAAGTGATACTGAAGAAGACAAGAAATGTGTGACAGAAGAAAAACGATATACACAGACATACATACAAAAAGATTTAAGGAGTTTGAAAGCTAACCTTTTGTCTTTCAAATATGCAATAATGCCGGCAGCTTCACCAGGTGAAACATGTGATGGAATCTGCCCCGATGTTTGAGGCCGGGATGAACTCGGCGAGGTGACCAGAGACGGTGAATACCACGGTTGTGCAGACGCTTCTGAAGAAGGACGAGACTGCCCTTGTTGTTCTTTTGATCCCCTGCATTTTCAAAAACAAAATTACAAAACATCCTTAAATACTATCTAAAAAGTGTTCCTAAACCCAATATACACAGCTCTTATCAACACGCACAACTTCATGGGGTGCTTTTAAACGACTACAACCAAGAAAAAACTATACTTTCTCTTATTAGAAGTGCATCGCATCATTGAGAATACATATCATTTGATTATACAAGAATGAACGATTATAAATGCAAGAGACCAACATCAAATAAAGCTCTCAAGGAAGATTGTACATCAGAATATAGCAAATCGGATAGCAGAAACTATAAACCCTAACACAGAGGCTTTAGAGAATCTAAGTGAGCAAAAATCTACACTAAACGCCATTAACAACAGTAAGTACCTACAAAAAGCAGAGCTCCTTAATCACGAAGAGACATGCCCAGAACACAGAAATCCGAATTTCCCCAATATAATTGTAATTAAAATTAGACAAAAACACAATCGAGAGGACCTGAAAGAGAGTATACGATTAAATAATCACAATAAAATAAAATAAGCTCAATCAGATCGTGGAGTTGATGTTTACCAGAAATTGAACATGGTTCGTAGAGTCTAACGATCGTCAAAAGACTTCTCGATTCCGAAACGAAAAAAATCAGAAGAGGCAATCACTAATTTTACAGAAGAGAAATGATCGATGAATCGTCAAATTTGCTAGGAATCGTATCTCGTTTTGTCAACGAGAAATACTTTTTTTATTTATTTTTCGTTATTTTGTTTCTCTTCTTCGCTTCATGTTATCTAACTTGCTAAGTTATTGCCGTTAATGGGCCTTTTCATACACTGATATATGGCTCTTTATTGTTGACCCATCAGTGAATGTTGGGCCTAAACATAATGGTCATCGATGATTACATGCATTATACAAGCGTAACAAATGTTATGATGTAGCCAATTGTAAAGTTATTACATACATTGGCATTTACCTTTACGAGGTAGCTTCTCAAGGTCGTCATTTTTAGACTAATTACTACGAGACTAAGATGAAAGTCAATCTATTTCATCAATATATTTCTTAATGCATTTTGTCTGCAATCATACAGAGAATATCTAGAAATATAATCAAAAGCTGACAAAAGAAGGTTTACAAAAAAAGAAAAAAGAGAAACTAAGAGTGATGGTTCCCTCTGGTAGGACGACAGACATGGTTACGTTTACGAGCATGTTCTTCGTTGTGGTGTTGTGTCCTACATGCGTATCCATACCAACAGTCTTCCCTCGCTGCTGCATCCGCTGGTAAATGATCTCTAGGCAGTGTTATCCGGAACCAGTATAAAAGAAACCCCACAAGCTTATCATAACAATCACTGCGTCATGTAAAACGCCCACAATCTTATCAGATTCACAATGGAGATAAAACTTTAACACATACAACAGTCTTTTGACTCTTAACTTACTTGCAAACATGCGTTGATGCAGTTATCGTCTCTGCGTGATTCAGAGGCATTCGAGAGCGGTCTGCATAAAAAAGACATTTTTTTACAACTACTAAATACATAGCTATAAGGATATCTCATAATCATGGAAAGGATAGATTTTGATGTTATGGTTTTAGGGTCACGAATGATAAGAATCGTTTTCTAGTTGGAGAGCTCAAGGAGAGAAATCAAGTTCAGTTTCTTTTAAATGTCTAACGTTTAGGAAAATTTGGTTTGGCCAATTAGTCATACTGTGACATAAGCTAAGCTGAAATTCATAATAGTACCGATTTCTCTATTGTTGAAACGCTTGAACCACTCTGCTGCAACATCCTGAACAGTTTTTCCCATCTGGGCTATGCATCTTTGTGTTATCTACAAAAAAACCACAGAGAGTGTCACCAAAGAAAGAGAAATCAATAGTCACTTAAAGGAAATTCCTTACATCTTGTTCATGGCGATTCATTTCGTGGGTTATGAATGGAATCCTTGTAGTTGTGCGTTCTGAGATCTGCAAATATTAGAAAGAATTAATGAAAAAAGAGAGGAATAAAGTTTCTATATCTTGTGCAACATTATCATGCAAGTGACTAGAGAGCAGCAGGGAAACCACCGGGTAAATGTCAAAAACTTTAAAAAAAACAAGTAAACTAAACTATCTTGATCATAGCAATCCTACCCACAATGCAATCTTTATTGCAATGCCTCATAGAGAGAAAAGAAAACCTAAGATCAAGTCACATTACGTATACTAGATACATGACAGAGAGCCAGAGTTTTAAGAGATCCAGTTTTCACTAAAATCTCTAATCTTAGCTAATCTTATGTAACATACAGTAGTCTAAACATGCCTAACATGGGTAAACATTTGACACTATTGGTTAGTTCATAGCTCAACCTACAGGTATGAAAGTTTCTCGACTGCAGACTGGCGAAGATTCACCGGGTGTAACATTTTCAGAACTCCAATAAGCACCACAAAACGGCCTATCACATCCCATGCCTGCAATAAACTCGAGTTAGGTGTGTGTGTGTGTGTGTGTGTGTGTATTTTATAAAATACAAGAGTGTTCTTTCCACTGAACATGTTGCAATATTAATAGTTACATATCAGTCCAACCTTGCAACATCCAGCATCCCTATGTTTTTATTACCACGATTACAGATGACATGTAAGAGTATCAGTACAAAAAAAAGGTTACCAACAGGACATACAGTATCCATTCAGTTGATACAAACTTTCTTAGCTGAGCAAATGAAAGCAACAACGCAATGAACTTACAATGTCAAGGGTGGAAAGAAAATACCAACTAGTCTTGAAAGCTAGATGCTCGATTATTTATACTGTAAACAACGCAAAAAAAAAAAAAAAAAAGAACTATGTGATGTCACTTACAGTGTAACGGCACTTGAAGATTGGCTCTAAATGGCATCATCCCTCTACAAAGGTGGCACTGCAGATGTGCGCCATGGCGTTCACACTGATAACCACCAATAGGAGCAACTGACAAAGAGCCATTGGCGTAGAGAATAAATCAACTTCCTAGTGCAGGGAAGGCTGGGATAAGAGTTTTCTCTAGTGATCATTTTTCTTAAGATTTCCTTTCGCTCTAGTACATTCATTATTTACTAGGATTCGATCACTTTATTTTTGGTTTCCTTGAATCAACTTATCCTCGGTAACTAGGAGAATAGCAAAAAGATAGATCTGAAAAATGGGTTTCAAATTCTTGTCACAATATTCATATGCAATCAACAAAAATTTTAGCAGAAGTTCAGGTTCATCAGACCAAGGAATCGTTAAGCTTTCTACCGTGAGAAAAAATATAAGAAGTAAGCATCCAGATAAAAATATATTACCACATTGTGGGCATCGCAAAGGCAAGCTATCTCTTTCTTCAAGTGTGGGTGAGAGCGTACTCAAACGACGTTTTCTCTTGCTCCCAATGATCTAAAATGTATGTCAACTGTAGCATGTAAGACAGCATGGCAGGTACATATAACTCACAAGTCACAACTAATTGCACAAGAAATACTATTAGCGTGTTTAAGCAATGGTAATGATTCATTACTGACTTATACCAAGAAGTCAATGTGCCGCAAGATAACAAAGGCTCTATGTATTTCCAATTAATAGAATATATTGCAGCAAATACTTACAAGATTTGATTGTATTGATGCAGATGAGTCTAACACTGCGACATCTTCAGCTGGCCGCCCCAGTGCGGTATCCGCCTTTAACATTTCCTAACATTAAAGTCACCAAAAGCTCAAGCGTAATGAAGGACAAGATTATATGAAAAGGTTCTCTTTGAAAGGAATTACCGATGGAAAGAACAGTGATATGTAAATAAAGGAAATGCTTGCAGTGAACAGATAACTACCTCTTGTATGTTTTGCAGAAAATGATTTCTCCCCACATATTGGACAGTTGTTCTGCACTGAGGACATAACACATGTTGATGTTTTTTCTCACATCTCCGCATCCATTCTGAAAAACAGCCATTACTGCAGGCATACCACATCAATCATTACTTACCAATACAGTGAAATTTATCTGTCACAGATGAGAACTGTACAAAACCAACGAATGGCAAACCAGAAATTATGAAGGCAAGGTGCAGCTGTGACAACATCGTGCCATACGTTTAAGCAGATACTGCATTTTGCATTCTCAGGATCTATGGAAATCTGGAAAGCAATATCAAAGAGATAGATAAGAAACTCAACTTAAATTTTCAACGAACCTAGAATTATGGACTATGAGTAGAGCACCTTTAATAGCTGGGTTCTGGATTCTGGAGCAGGCATTACCGTGAATCGGTACTGCAAGAAACCTGCAAAATTGAATAAAATTGATAAATGTATATCGATATTTGTTGTCTTCTTAAAAGTAACTTCACCATTCAAACTCAACAAAGAAACCACACAAACAGTAACTTGAAATAAAACCTGAAACTACAGCTTCATTATCAGAGGCTCAGAACTACGTCAATGAGAAACATTTATATAGCAATACCAGTTTCTTCCACCACAGATACAATGCACAAGAACGCAACAAATATTACTGTTTTTTGAAGTAAAGCAATTAATTGACCTGGAGTAGTAGAATTATCCATGCAATTTTCAAGATGAAAACAAAAAGACTTGCTTTAGGAAATAAACTGACAACTCAGAGGGATAAAAATGTCAGATAGTCGAACCTTGTCCTCCAGGGCCAGGAACAATTTCAGATCCACACATGATATCGACAGCACCGTCTTTCGGGATGATAGCCTCGTCAACAAGTATAGCATCCGAACTAAGAAAGTACCGCAATTCAGAAAGCGCAACAAAGTCCAAAAGAAGAACGATGTGAAGGGTAAACAAAGAAAAAAGAAAACACCAACACTCAAAAAGAAATACAAAACATAATTGTGTAGCTAGAATCAAAAGTTCTTACTTATGTCAAAATGGGCAGTAGAAAAAGAGCTCTTTTTAAATATGTTATCCCTATGCAAGTTCAATATAAAGATCTTTGGTTTCCAAGACAGAAATTGTTATCCTTTCGAAAGAAAACTTTTCCTATGCGATTTAAAGAGAGCATCTTTCTAACAGCCTTAGTTCAAGATACAATCTTTCATAGTGCAAAAGTAATTAACACCTCTGTTTAAAAATGTTACCCCTACGTTGGTTCAATAAAAAGATATAAAACATTATCCTTACGAAAGAAAATCAACTTAGAAAGAGCATCCTTCTGAAAGTGAAGGACAGTAACATCATAAGTCATTGGCATACCTCTTGTTATGTATAGTGGCAGAACCTGGACCCAAATTCTTTGTTATTATGCACCATTCGTGTCTTTCTGAGGAAGATGGTTTAATCTCCGAGCATATTACCATATCATTGCATCTAATCTCGATGTCTGAGAATCTGGTATCCAAGGGAACTGCAAAATTTTGAACAGAATCAGTATAAAAGAGCCAAACTTGACAGTGCATTAGTTTAACAAGAAACGAGAAAAAAGAACAACTAGAACACCATCAGGAATGTCAATCTTGTATAATGACATAATCAAAAGCTATTGTAAAAAGTATCCGAAAACAAGTGAGATTATCATCAATAAGAGAAGACAACACCACAAGCAAACATGACATTGGATTGCAATTCAAGAACAAAAGAAAATTTCACGGAAAGAGAGAGAAAGAGAGAGGGAGAAAAGGCTGACCCAGTTTGGCCCATGCATCATCGGAGGGTTTCGAACCCGAGGATTGTCCAGTTTCCGTCATCGGAGTTCAAGTCGCGAAAATCTACAAAGCTTTCAGTGAACGA